TACCTGATCTCATTGGACAGGTCTCCGCAGGCCCCTCCGCCGACCCTGCTGCCGTTGCCATAGCCGAAGGCCCCGCGGGCCCCGCCAGCTCCCCCACAGCAGCAGCAGGTGAGCGCCCAGATGGCCAGCAGCAGACACCCCAACAGGAGCAGAGAGCCCAGCACTGCGCCCACGATCACGCCTGCACGCCGGGAGTCTGTGGAGAGAAAGAAGGAGAGGCCGGTCAGGCTCTCCCAGGGCAGAGCTCCGTGGGAGAGGGGCTCAGGGCCCTGGGACACTCCGTGAGGAAGATGGGGTGGGGGATGCAAGGTAACCCCTTATGTTTGCATATTTCTCCCAGGGCTTCCCACCTGCCCTAGGCAGAGACCTACACAGGATGCAATGGGCAGGCAGAGCCAGCTCAGGCTCCAGCCCAGGTTCCTCCAGTCCAGCTACAGGGCCCCCAAGGCCAGGGCACCTACCTGAGACCCTCATCTCCACCACACACACACTGTAGCCCACGTGGTTGGCCACCGTGCACTGGTACAGCCCATTGTCCTCATGGGAGATGTCCTTCAACACCAGATCGCCGTTAAACACACCTGAAACTGAAGTTACCGCAGAGCTATAGTGAGGCGGAGGGGCCTGGTGTCTGAGAGCCTCGCCCCAGCCTGTGGGGTGGAAGGAGGGACAGTATGGGCACACACCCTCAGGTCCACTCCACACCCCAGGTGAGTTATCCTCCCCCTGCTGAAACAGAGGAGTTAGGAAGAACCCCTCCACCCTGGCTGGTTTGGCTCGGTGGATGGAGCTTGCGGACTGAAGGGTCCGGGGTTGGATTCCACATGCCCAGGTTGCGGGCTTGATCCCCAGTAGGGGGCGTGCAGAAGGCAGCCAATCAAAGATTCTCTTCATCATTAATGTTTCTATCCCTCTCTCCCTCTCTCTTCCTCTCTGAAATCAATAAAAATATATTTAAATTAAAAAAAGAACCCTTCCACCAGCAACAGGACCGAGACATCACTAATTCACTCTGTGGCCTTAGAGAAACATGCCCCTTCTCTGAGCCTCGGCCTCCTCCTTGGAGCTGGGGTTACAGCAGAGGAATTCTAAGGCTCCCTCCAACTCTGATGGTCTTGGTTGGATTTTGGGTACTAGTGAGTTTCTCTGTATGCTGGCAGCTTTGCACACTTCGCCCCATTCAATCCTCACAGGCCCCAGGAAGAAAGATGTTCTTACTCCCTTTTCATACAGGATGAACCAAGGCACAGAGAGGTTAAGCCACTTGCCTGATTCTTGTAGTCAGCGGTCCAGCCAGCACTCAAGCCCAGCTCAGCTGTCTATCTCAGACTGTGTTCTTTCCAAATTAACCACACTGCTTTGGACTGAAGCTTCCCCACCCCTTTGCCTCCTCTTCTCTCAATAGTAACTTCTGAAACAGGCTCAGAGGAGGCATCTCCCACGAGGTTCTAGGTTGGACTTGGTGCCACTGATGGCTCAGGGAGGCTCCAGCGGGTCCCAGAGTCCTGATCTTCCACTCCTCCCGCCCACCTCTTCCCGGTCCCCCTCACCTTGATTGATGGAGCTGTGGAAGGACTCCTGATAGGACAGCTCAGACTGGAAACTGTGCTGCGAGTGATAGGATCCTGCCCGGTAGGGGTGGGTGTGCCCACTGATCTTGGCCCAATTGTAGGAGAGAGGCGGGGTGCCCCCATTGGCAAAGCACTTCAGCACCACATCGTTGCCATACGCCATGTGGCCCTCAGACCAGCACAGGGGCACTGCGGGCCGAGCTGCAGGAAAGCAGGCCATTGTGAGCCAGGCTCAGCCAAGAGGCACAGTTGGGCTCAGAGTGGCCATACTAGCCTTGGCTCTGAAGTCTAGGGAAGAGGAACCCAGAGGAGACCGGCCATACCTTGGACGGTGACGATGACCTTCCGGGTAGCCATCGTGGTCTTCTTCACCCGGCACTCATAGGTGGCTGTGTCTGAGACTTGCAGGTTCATGAGGTTGATGGAGGCATCGTACTGGCTGGGGTCTGAGGCTGCAAAGCGGACCCTCTGCTGCAGGTGGGGGAGGTTGCCATGGTTGATTCTCTTGTCCTGGTAACTAAGGAACTGCGAGGAAGAGAAGAAAACAGGGTGGTGAGACAGGCAGGGCCAAGGAGGGCCAGGTGGGCAAGTCACTCAGCTTTTCTGAGACTCACTTTACTCAGCTGAAAAGTGGGAATGATGATGCCTGGTCCCCTGACCCCTTACAAAATGGGTTGGACCAAGTAAAGAGCAAGTACTTTGGACGCATAAGGGCGAGTTGGGAACTTTTTTTTCTCACCTAAGGATATGTTTATTGATTTTAGAAAGAGAGGAAGGGAGAGAGAGAGAGAAACATTGATGTGAGAGAGAAATATTGATCCATTGCCTCCTGTACATGCCCCGACTGGGGATGGAACCCACAACCTAGGTATGTGCCCTGAGCAGGAATCAAGTCCACAACCCTTTGGTATACAGGACGATGCACCAACCAACTGAGCCACCTGGCCAGGGCATGGGAACTTTTGAAGGCAGGCACCACGCCTTTGGAGTGGTTGCAGAGCTCTCATCCCTGTTGCCCCATTCCACAAGAGGCCATGGGGGAAGTTCAAGGTCTTGGTTTGATTATCTGCCCTCCTCTCTCCTCAGAGTGTTGGCTGCACATCAGGTAGACCATGGAGTGTAGGGTAAGGGGAACCATGTGCCCAGAACTCACCACGTTCTCCCGATGTGAAGGTTCTGAATTGACCTGCATCCACTCGATGTCCAGCCCACTGGGACCATAATCCTCAGGGTCCAGGATGTAGGGGCAGCCCAGTCTTACATTGTCACCTTCTGCCAGGTACAGGATCTCCTGGCCATCCCCGTTGATCCGCACAGCAGACAGCAGTGCTAGTAGAAGAGGAGAACGGGTTGGGTGAGGGGAACTGAACCAGAACTTGGGTGGTCGGCTTCAGCCTCTCCCTCCCCCATTCTATCAGCAGCAACCCAGGCTCAGTGGGGGTTCCACAGGAAGGAGGGGCTGCTCCGAATGTGTGTCTCTGTGTGTGTATGAAGCAGTATATGCAGGCCTGTGCACACATGTGTATGCATCATATTCTATGATGTGTAGGACTGCATCTGAATCCTGTTTGTATATACTGTATATGTAGCTGTTAGATATGCTTGTATGTGTGCATGATTGTGTATGCATGTAAGAGTATGATACAAGTGTACATGTGTGCTTATGAGTATTTATAGCTGCTTATGTGTACTGTAAGGATACTCATGCCATGACCAGGTAGGTTGTCTGCTTTTATATTTACACTAGTGACCCAGTGCATGGATTCGTGCACATTGAAAGGAAATTAATTAGAAGGTGGCTGGCGGGGCGGGACTGGGTGAGAAGGGCCGGACACGCCCTGGCGCCAACCTTTCACGGTCCCTCCCCAGCTGGCTGCACTTGGGGGACACCGTGGCAGAATGAGCAGGGTCCCTCTAGCAGATGGGGTCCCTCGGCCTGGCCTGCAGGGATCAGGCAGAAACAAGCTCTCTGACATCCCCTGAGGAGTCCAGGAATGCGAGAGGGCACTCTGCAGAGTTGCTGTCATACAGGATGTGGAACACAAACACAAGTGAGCAGTAAACCAGATTCAGGGCCGACAGTGCCCCAGCAACAACATAACTCACGGCCGAAGGTGGAATCACGCAGCCCCATGAGGAATCGGGCTCTGTCCTCTCTGGTTTTGGGGTGCGTCACCCAAGAACCACCACTGCCAAGTCACTGCAGCTTGGCAGCTCCTGCATTAAGCATCTGCCCCCTGGTGGTCAGTGCGCATCATAACGACTGGTCAGACAGTCGGACACTTAGCATACTAGCCTTTTATATATATTGATTGTGTGTGTGTGTGTGTGTGTGTGTGTGTGTGTGTGTGTGTACAGTGTGCACATGGAGCACACAGAGCTGTAAAATGCTCTGATAGAGGAGCCTGGTCTGGTTAAAAGCTGCCTCCGTCTGGGCCACATGAAGTGCTCCTACCTGGAGGCAGGAGGATTGGATAGTATCACCTCTTCCCAGCCCAAGGAGTGGAAGACTGGAAATGTCCGTGTGTGTGTCTTGCGTATGACGGTGCACGTCTGGGGCCGTGTGCCTGTGCGTGACAGCAGGTGCCTGGTTGTGTCAGTGCTCTGAGTGATGGTGCATGCCTGTGCATGACAGTGGGTGGCCATGACTGAGCTGAATTCGTGTGTGACAGTGAATAATGGCGTGTGCCTGGCATTGAGGCCACATGCATCTGTAGGATAGTGAGCCTGGTGTAATGACGTGTAGCAGCGTGGACTGTGTGTCCTTCCCTCTCGTGATTGTGAGGCTCAGGTACAGCTGCCCCCCTAGGCTCACTCACTCGGGTCCCCTCCCACTGCTGCCAGCCTGCCCCACTGAGTCCGCCTGGGTGGGGACCTGGGGTCTGGAAACCCAGTACGGAGCTCCTCCCCTTTTTATTCTGAAGCCCCAGGCAAGCGCTCGCCCCAACCAGCTGGACCCAGAGAGGAATAGAAGGGGGTGTGCCCGGGGCCCCAACCTCGGCAGGTAGGGCAAGTAGGCTCTGCCTCCCAATCTCCTGCGCCCCTTGCTCCCCAGGTCCCTGGGCCCAGCCTGGATCAGCCCCCTTCATTCTTTGTGGAGAGGCAACAAGTCCTTTGGAGTCTCAGCCCCTAGCCTCAGCTACTCACTCTGCTCTGCCCTCCTCTGGCTCTCTCCTGAGACCCACCTCACAGCTAGAAAGCATCGCAGACACACAATTACACTGTCGCAGCCAAACACATAGACACACTCTGAAAGCCTTCTAAATGCAGGAACGCACTTATGGGGTCCCACCTTCCTACACATGAATACTATCAGGTTCATATAGAGACACATCTGCACACTGACACAGGTCCAGATTAATCCAGAAGACACGCCCACTGCACATGGCATAGTCCCCGTGTGCTCATTCAAGACCAAGCCTACCTGCAGAAGCTTACCCAGTTCTAAAGAGCCAGCACGCACTCTTGCGACACCCAACAGCTCAGGCATTCCTGAACTTGCCCCTCAGAACCCTGGCTAGACCATCAGCCCCGCTCTAACCCCACTAGGCTCCAGGGGCACCCAGAGCGGCCAGGCTCCCTGCTGGGCCTCTAACGGGACCTGGTGATGCCTCCTCCAGCCCCAGAAGGAGAACGTCAGCTCATTTCTGAGATAAGGATCCAGATGCCATCTCCCAGGTCCTGGGGCGGCACCAGGCAAGCCAGGGATGAGCCAGAACTCCGCAGAGAGCAGAGCCTCCGCCCTCAGGGCTCCTGGAAGCTACCCACAAAGAGAGGACTCTTCCTTGCACCTGGGGGCCAGCCCACGGGAGGGTAAGTATTCAGGGAAGGGGCCTGGAAGGAGGGCCAAGCTGGAAGAGTGCCTGCGCCCCGCACTAGGCTCCGGCTCCGTGTCTTCCTTTGTCCCAGGCCAGGGAGCCTCACCCTAGCCGTTCGTCTCCCTCAGAGCTTCCTCAATCTCTTCCTAAGGGCTCCGACCTTTCTGCTCGCCTTTACTCTCCTGGGGAAGTTCTTCCTGGTGTCTCACCCTGGTTTCTCTTGCTGTGACACTGGAGGAGTAGGAGAGAAGAGAGAGGCAGGAGAGAGGGAAGAAAGCCAGAGAGGAAGAGAGCCCTGGGCAGGGAGATTCGGGGAGAGGGGAGGAAATCGCAGCGGGCTACAAGGAAGAGGGCAGTGGTGGCTACTCATCCCCAGGGGCTGCACACCCTCTGTGGATGTCACCTCAACAGTAGTGTCTATTCTCAACTTGAAATCCTTTGTGAATTTCCAAGCTGCTTCCAGAGCTCCTAACCCTCCCTCTGGAGGTGAGGAAGGAGAGGGGAGGGAGGGGAGAAAAGGAGGCCCCCACCAGAGGATATCGGTGCATAAATACACGCAGCACACACCCAGGACACGTGCCACCCACACGGAGATGCCCCAGGTTCCCACAGCACAGCCAGAGCTTCCTGCACAGGCTCCACCAGCCTCGCTCTCACCAAACAGGGGGAGTTGTAGACGCTTTACCAGAAACTCATCACACACACACACACACACACACACACACACACACACAGGCTGAAAATCCTTCCCCCTTCATAAGCTCCTTCTCCCACACTCCCTCGCCCCCAGCCCAGACCCTGGGGTGGGTCTCCGAGCCATTTCCAGCAGCGCCCACACAGAGTGGCCCGTGCTGAGACTTGCCCCAACCTGGGCAGGGAGCCAGGACATCCGACCTGAGCCCTGTCCTCAACAGGACCCCCAGTGGAGTTGCTGTCCGCACCCTCCTCCAGCCCCTCCTGGAGGGGAGCACTACCCCGAAACTCTCACAACACAAGGCCCGGAGTGGAGGCCTCCGGTCAGGGCTGTAGCTGGCAGTGCTGGGAGCAGTCACTCAGGCCACATTCGCTGAGGCTCTGCCCTCTGCAGGCAGCTCCCTGCCCTGGCTCTGGCCTGGGGTGGGGGCCCTCCTGCTGGATACACACACACACTGGTGAAAAGGCTCCTTCCCAGGCTCCTCCTCAGCCCCCACCCAGCTTTGCTGCTCACCTGCCCATCCACCCCACTCCCTGTACTCAGTCACAGCAGGTGCGTGCATGTGTGAGCCCCACCGTGAGGGGTCATCCAGACCTCTGCCCCAAACTCCGGGCCTGCGGCTCTCCAGGGGAGAGGCCCTTGGCAAGATCCAAACCTGGTGGCAGCAGGGCAAGGGTGGGCCACTCCCTGCCAGGACATCCCAGAAACTGCCAGGCTCCTCCACACGCCCTTCCGTGCCCCTTTCTCTGCCATCTAGCGTGCGGGCATCTCTGCCTGCTGCCCAGCCCCATACCTGGGCTCAGGCACATGAGCAGAAGGTGGAAGGCTCCTCGAACTCCCATGTCTCGAGGCTCGGTGTCTCCTCCGCCTGGGCTGGGTATCCCTGGGCCGGCGGCAGTGGGGCCGGTGGTAGTGCGTGTGTAGGGATGGGTGGAGGGAGGGGGGGATGAGGGCCCAGACACTGCCCCGGGGTGGTAGGAAGGTGCACTGAGGGCCCGGCTGGGGAGCAGCCAGAGTTATTTCTATGGGAGGGAGGGGGCCAGGTCCCCGCCTTGGGGAGGAGTCCCCAAAACCCTAATTATCAGGGTGACAGAGTGGCCTACCCAGGCATTACCCAGCCATCACCCAAGCTCTTCCCTATCCAGAGAGTGGGGCAGGGCTGCCAGTGGGACTTGTAATTAGGCACCTGTTAAACTTCCACTTCCTCCTGGCCCCATCCTCAGTGGCAATAGTCACCCCGTTTTATGGCATCCGTGGAGCTCCCCTCACCACTCGGGTTTGTTACCTTCTTCCCCAGGGGACAATGGAAGAGGAAGGAGAAGCCAGGCTTGGGGAGGAGGGTGTCCGGGCTTGAAGGATTAGCACTGACCTCAGGGCATAGGGGTCTGACACACTTTCCAAATCCTGCCCCTTCCTATCCCTGATCCTCTGAAGGGGTCTGTGGGGAAGGGCACCAGGGAAGGGGCCACTAGGGCTGGAGGGAAGGCCCAGGCAGATGAAAGGGACCCAGGGATGTCCAGTCCGCCTCCCACCTGAGGCCTCTGGCCCCTCCAAGAAAGTCAGCCCTACTGAGCTCAATGAGAGAGGGAAGAGGTGAGTTTGGGGTCAGGATCTTCCCCTGGCTGCCCCCTCTGTGCCCCCAAACAATACCTGATGCAAGGTCATCTTCGAATGTAGGGGATCCCTAGGAGCTGGGGGTGTTATAGGGATCCAGCCCAAACTCCCACTAAACTAAAACCAGTTCGGTGAGGCCCGAGGGGAGAAGGGCCAGGGTGTGTGGAGGGAGCCCAGCGAGTGAATGGGTTAGTGGAGGGGATGCTGGGGAGAACAGCACCAAGAGGGCCAGGGAAGGGGTGTGCCTGTGTGTGTACCCTCACCGGCATGTGCCACGTCTCTACTGAGGAGGGCTAAACCCCGTGTGCACTTCTTTGGGGGACTGTTTGGTGTTCTTGCTTCTGTGCACAGGGAGGGAGACCAAGGACCCTCATAACCTGGCCTGCTCATCAGGGTGACTGAGACAACAAGGTGGGCAAGTTAGAGCTGGATGGGAGGGTCCTGGTGGGCTGAGGAAGTGGAGGGGCAACCCTTGCTGGTTGGTCCAGGGGGGTCCCAGAACAGGCCTTGGGCCTCCCATGGGCATCAGGAGAGGTGGGTCAGGTCATGAGTGGCCCCATTCAACAGCCCACCCCCATCCCTTCCAGGGCACAAGAAGGAGGGGAGAAGAGTCATGGGGAGAGTGATGAGACAGGTGTACTGCCAGGGCCGACCCCTCCAGGAAAAATGAGACGGAATAATAAGGAAGCACAAGGACCTCACACGTTGCTGTGCCCAAACCCCTCCACCCACACCCCCAACAATAACAGGGTGCTCTGAGACCCACCAGATGTGCACAATGAATATCCTCATTTCCTTATTTATTTTGAGGTTTATAGGATTGCCCTGCACACTCTGCAAAGCAGGGATCATTAGCCCACTTTAAAAATGTGGAACAGAGGCCTGGAGACACATGAAGATTCAGCCCAGTTGATGCTGCTGGGGCAGGGGTGGGCAAACTTTTTGACTCGAGGGCCACAGTGGTTCGGCCCGCGGGCCGTAGTTTGCCCACGGCTGTGCTGGGGCCTGATCAGGGTTGGGTGGGGGGGGCACCCAGGCATCACGGTTCTCGATCCAGAGTGGTCCAAGAAGGGGCTTGGCGGCCCCATGGGTTATTAGACTGACCCCTGGAGACAACGCATGGAAGGTCAGTGATGGGGAGAGGGGAGAGCAGGTGGGACCGGGAAGAGGGAGACTGAAAAGAAAGGAGTAAGACTGTCATTCCATTAAACTGAAGTGCAGGTTTGGAGTTTAATTGGGTTCTGATTTCAGCTAATGTTAGAGTTGGAATGAAGGTTGGATGAAGGTTGGGGTGAAGGTTGGGGTTAATTGGAATTATGAGGCTGAGGTCAGATTTGAGGTTGAGATGGTAATTAAGGTTGAGATTAGGGTTAGCATAACAGCCAGAGCGGAGGCTAGGGTTGATGGCTGGGATCCATGCCATGATACAGAATAGGGTTTTTGTTTCATTTACAGCTATGCTTGAAATGCAATCAAAGGGTGGGTGGAGACTGATGTAGAATTGGGATTACAGCTGGGTTAGAACTGAGTTTTGAATTTGAATTAGAATAGACTGTGGTTAGGGTTAGAACATGGGTTAAAGTTATATGGGCAGGAGGATGCATTAGGTTTTATTTATGACACAGAAAGACCTCAGCCTCCACCTGCTAAAGCCAAGTTTGGCTAGAATGTTTATCCCTGTGCTCTGGGAGAATGCCGATGGCACATGTTGACTGGGGACCTGAGATTTGGGGGAGAGTTGCAAATACACATGAGCCCATCTGATGGGTATGAAGCAACTTAATCCAATGACAAATGTAACCTCTGAAGTCCTGCTCCGCGACCTCAGCTCACCACCTATAAAGCTCCCAGCAGTCATCTGGGGAGGGGATACAGGAAGCCATTTTCAATGAGGGGGGCTCTCACGCCACATTGAACCAGCAGATGGAGTCTATCAGAAGTAGGTTTACTGGGGGGTGTCCTGGTTTTGGAGTCTAAGAGACAGGAGTTGGGGAAGACTGAGGGCTGGGGTGCTCCTAGGAGAACAGGCACTTTTGAGGGTATCATGCAGGGGCCGCTCCAAGCCTCAAAGGGCAAGGCACATTTTTGCTCTCCTCTGACCCACTGCGGGTAATTGCCACCTCCTTGCAATTTGGGGCCCATAAAAGCAGCTGTCAGCCTTCCTGCCTTGTGCCCTGAGCCCTGCTTGGCTGGGGGCGGGGGGAGGGGGGAGTGGTGAAGTGAGGGCACTGGGTATCAGTTTAGTTTAGGTCTAGCCCCGTGGTCAGCAAACTGCGGCTCTTGAGCCACATGAGGCTCTTTGGCCCCTTGAGTGTGGCTCTTCCTAAGCCTTAGGAGTACCCTAATTAAGTTAATAACAATGTACCTACCTATATCGTTTACGTTTAAAAAATTTGGCTCTCAAAAGAAATTTCAATCGTTGTACTGTTGATATTGGGCTCTGTTGACTAATGAATTTGCCGACCACTGGTCTAGCCCATGGCCCCCTCCCTCTGGAACCATCCCACAGCCCAAGTTTCTCTCTGAGCTTCATCTTCAGTAGAGGAAGAGGGCCTGCTCCTGGAGGACCCCTACCCCAAGTCCTCTCTCTCCTTTTCCCCAACCTGGTCTCCACCCAAAATCCTATTTCCCCACCACTTCCTTTTCAGGTCCCATAAAGGTCTGAACAGAATCTGGAGACTACTGGGGTTCCCTCTGTGCCCCCAGGAGAGACAGTGATTACTAAGAAGCAGAGGAACACAGGTGGCACCCAATGACTCATCTAGGGTCCTAAGAGAAAGACAGGAGGCAGAAGGCCAGGCTGTGACCTCGGGCCCAACACACAAATTTCCAAAAAGGGTCCCTTGCTTTTCCCTGAGAAATTTAGAGAGGTCCAGAGGAGAATGGCCCCTCTTTTTTGCATACCCCACGGTTTGGGTTGTATTTGCTTCTATTCTAAGACAGAAACAGAAACTCAAGGACAGAGACTTAGAAAGCAATGAACAGAGACAGAGGAGAAGGGAAGAGGCCGGTCAAGGACCCAGAGAAGCCCAGAGACTGTTCCTGAAATGAGGCACAGCCTGACCGCAGAACATCTGGGGGAAGGACAGGAGGAAGGCTTGGTCCACCTACTCTTCCTCCAAAGTGCCCTTCACAGCAATTTGGCACAAAACCCTGTAGGCCCCGCCCCCACCTGCCCAGACTGTCCCTCCAACTCCTCTCCCAGACCCCCTGAGCTCAGGCTCAAGTTCCCATCACCTTTCCAGCCCCCCTCCCCTCCCTCTGCAATTTGACCCTTTTTTTTTTCTTTTCCACATATATTTTCATTGATTTCAGAGAGGAAGGGGGAGGGAGAGAGAGATAGAAACACCAATGATGAGAGAGAATCATTGATCAGCTGCCTCCTGCACGCCCCACGCTGAGTATTGAACCCACAACCCAGGCATGTACTTTTGACCTGAATCGAGCCCAGGACCCTTCAGTCCACAGGCCAACACTATCCACTGAGCCAAACCAGGCAGGGTAATTTGATCCTTTCTAAAGCACGGGCACGGACACACACTCACACACACACACACAGTCAGCAGGCTCCCTTGCACCTCTCCTGAGTCCTCATGTAGACCAGGCTCACCCCACAACCCCAAGGAGTGACAGCAGAATCCTGGAATGGCCATGCAGAGAAGGCCGCTGAGGAAAGGTCTGTGGGCAGGAGTCATGAGCTGTTCAGGATGGACAACATGCTAAGCATCAGAGAGAGCAGACAAGGCACCTTGTGGACACAGTCACAGGGAATGGCCATGCAGAGAAGGCCGCTGAGGAAAGGTCTGGGGGCAGGAGTCATGAGCGGTTCAGGATGGACAACATGCTAAGCGTCAGAGAGCAGACAAGGCACCTTGTGGACACAGTCACAGAGAAGCCAGGGAGCCGCTCCAGAGGCTGCCCTTTCCCCCAAGGGTTGGGGTTGGAGAACTACCAGTTGAGGCCATGTTGGATGAGAAAAGTGGGGGGCTTAGAGGTGGTATGGGTGGTATGATGGGAGAATGTCAGGTTCAGTTGAAGACGGGTTAGAACTAGTTAGAAATAAAAGTCACGTGTGGGGTTCTGTTTCAGAATTTGGGTTAGGGTTAGGGACTGAAGTCCAGATGAGGACCAGTAGGCAAGAGTTTTGGACACATGTGACCTTGGGAGTCCCTGAGCCCCTACTCAGGCTTCCCAAGCCTCGGCAGTTCCTGCTGGTCCACCCCAGAGC